TTCGAGCAAAAATAGCATATGTAGGTACCAAAATAAGGCCATAATATAAAAATACGATAGAAATGACCGATGACTTCTTTAGCAGATCTAAACGGTAACTTCCCCATGATTGCACCTTTTTAAAGTGTTCTACATTCTCTAAGAGAACAGGAACTCTTTAATGTGTACAAAACTTCCCTAAACGGTCAAGTGTCTTGAAGAGTGTAATTTTAGAGCCAATAAGTCATTGCATTTTTGTCATTTGCAGGGTTATATGATGCTCCCAAATTAAGCAACACATTGTTACCAACTATTTCCATGTACTTGACAAGGTATTTGATAACAACCATCGAATAAAACTAAGGCCATGTTATCAAAACAACCTTCTAAATCTAAGTCATAGTCATAGTAAAAAATCATCAATGAAAGTATAAGACGTATCGGTAAATGACAGAAAACAAGTTCGTAAAGGTGTCGTACCCGTTTGATCATTACATTCATTAGATCATCCAAGGAATGATAACTTTGAGGAACAAAACCACCTCGCAGCTTCGTTTGCTCCAAAAGAAAGTTTCCGTTGGATCTCATTCTTGACCCAGTAGTTGAAATTTCAATCTCATTCTGCTGCATAAGAGTTGAAGCACCTTCATTTGATTGGCCACTTAAGAACATGTCCATCTTTCCATTGAAAATTCCATTACTCTGGTCCAAACCCTGGCCCAAGGGAGATGCAATGCCATTGGAAGGAATATGGGAATTCAAGGAACCAAATGCATTATTTGAGGTGAGGCTATAATTCTGTTTTTGTTCTCCCCATCCCTGGTTTGGTGCTTGGTTCATGTTATGAAGAATATTGCCAACCAAACCTTCTTGACATTGAACCTCCCTTGAATCTTTGGGAGATTCTGAAACCATGGTGGTCGAAGAAATATCAAATGGGTTGTGCTGTAATTGAGGACCATTCGAAGAATTATTGTCTCTCACCCTATTCAGAGCCATCTGACCATGAAAAGGATCAGTAGAAATCAACGAAATGGACTGCAACTTAGGTAATTGGTTGGCACTTTGCCAGTTCTCATTACATTTACTATTATCCAGAAAATTAGAGGAACAATTGACACCAACGTTATAGGGTTCAGCATTAAAAGGAACCATGTTGAGAGAAGATTGATTTTCAAATTCTCCCCCATTCAATGTTAGCTGGGAGTCCCCATGTTGTACCATAGGATTATTTGGAGCAGGGATTAAAGAGTTGCTTGAGCTACCAACTGCTTCTCTGGGGTCTTTGAATGTACTGGAAGCTGTTAACATTCTTGGGTCATTCATAGAATTGAAATTCCCAATGCCCGTGGTGCACCCACTTTGTTGTAACTGATTCAGTTCCAATGACGATGGAATTTCTTGAAATAAACTTGCATTTTGGTTTGCAGCTGAAATGGCTGGATGAATTTTCCCAAGAGCGCTGATGGAGTTGCTGTAGTTTTGCGCAACATTTGGTTGGATGAGTGTAGAAGGAGTAAGGCCCCGAAGGTTTACACCAGCAGGACTATTTAGTCTAGTTGTATAAGGAGGTAAGGCAGCATTTGCAAATCTTCCCGATCCAGCCAAAGTTCGGAAATCTCCAAGCCCGTCAAGTGAACTCATACGCATAAAAGGAGAATCCTTAATCCCTAGTGCTGCAGCCATGTTCGCTTGTCGGGTTGCAACTGAACTGATCCTTTTCAGGTAAAGCCTATACTTCTGCAACAGAGAACAGGTTGTATTTATCCATTAAAATCAAAAGATTGAATAACTTTTCTTGCTCACAAATCACAATGGCCCTTAGTATTTCAGTGGTGGGTAAAAAGGAAAAAAAAAGGCTGGTGCCTTAGGAGATTTTGATATCAAAACGTTTGTTGTTAATATCTTTCTTCAGTGGCAACTAAAAGGTAGACTCATTTCACCATTGGCATGCCAGTTTGAAGGACAATTTTTCAATCTAAGAAGATTTCTTTTCTTTCTTATTTCTAAGTACCTAATTGTCAACAGAACAAGCCTTCGCTGTACACACCCACAGAATTCTCCCCTCACAATAGAGTGACCCTACAATCATTATGTAGAAAATAAATTATGCAATTCCGATTTGTCAAAAATTGCAAAGCCATAGCATGATCCTAACTCCTGAAGACATCTGTCCCACTTTATTCCCCTATTTAAAACTAAATCATAAGGTTAAAAAAATTCTAGTTCATTACATTTCAGAATGGATGAAAAGAACTTTCACTGATTGATGGAAATGAGAAACAGAAGATAATTTAAAACCTGAAGATGGCTTGCCACATTTTCCCGAGTAAGCCCTTCAACATTCATCATGTCAAGGATTCTTTTAGGAACGGCTTCTGCATCAAAAAAAAGGATAAATAAAAAAAGAATGTTAATGGGATAGAAATTAAATGAAATAGACATTGAACATGAAGTGCTGATACAGAAGAAGTTACTTTCAATGCCCAGTTGATTCACTGCTGCAACAAACTTCCTATGCAGCTCAATAGACCATACCACTCGTGGCTTTTTCTGCGTTGCAGCGTCTTCATTTTCATGTTCATTATCGTCACTCTCATCTTCATCATCTTTCCTCTTTCTATTAAGTTTCCCATTCTGATCGGGATTACCTACCAGTGAAGTCCCAGTACCTCCACTTGCTTGATTAGCCTTGTCTTGAGCAGTGGATTTGTTTTGGGAATTGGAATCGGGCTTTTTTCTCCTGATTACATGTTGCCATATATTTCTCAGCTCCTCAATTCGGATAGGTTTCACCAAATAATCGCAGGCACCATGATTAACCCCTTTCATTACAAGTTTTGGATCACTATTCGCAGACAACACTGAGACAGAATTCAAAGCATTGAAAGAAATTTCAAAATCAGTACAACACAATAATTTGTAATCATCATGTTTACAAGAAAACAAAAGGAAAAAATTTCATTCGGGTCTGATTAAAAATTCAAAGTCAAGATATTGAAGCTAAATTGAGTTCAATGGACTTGTGTATTCATGCAAAAAGAAAAAGAAGACAAAAAATGTTAAATATAAATTCAATCAAGGAACAAATAGGTCACGCAAGCTTACTAATAACAGGCAGATCCATTTCAAGACCAACATGCTCCAAAAGCTTAAAACCATCCATGTCTGGCATATGCACATCACTGATTACCAGGTCAAATCTGTCTTTATTTTCCCTCAACATTTTCAATGCCATCCTTGCCCGACTTGTTGTAGTAACTGTAAAAACCACAAATAATAATAATAATAAAAAGAAGAAGGTGACTTTAATCATACTCTTCAAATCAAAACATACAAAAGTTGATGGTGAAAGATCTATTTAAGTGGTAACCATAAATTAAATCATGATGAGGAGACACAAGCTATAACAGTCCGGACTCAGAATCAAGATTGATAACCGAAAATGAAAACTAAAAAGATATAAACTTAAATAATACAAATGACGAGGCATCAAAATCTACCAGGACCCCGCCAATACATGGGACTACCTGAAGTTTGGGTGCAAGATACTAATCCTAATTCCTAATATTATGCCAAACATTGCAAAATTACTTACTGCAGTCTATTTCAGACTTGTATGATAAAGATAACAGCATTAGGATCTAGCCAAAGGAAATCACTGGTCGGGAGATCCACCATATGTGAATTTCAATGTCTTCCAGCATGGCTGAATAACAAGAACATCGATAGCATTTGCAAAAATAACTTAAAACAGGAACTGTGAACATGGATAAAAAGAAATAACCAGGAACAGATATAGGAGGACCTAAAAGTAGGTGAAGGCATGAAGTATTAAGAAATTAAAGCATATGAAAACCAAATCAAAACTTTAAACCACACTTCATAAGGAAACACAAAGATTGGGATCAACAAAATCCAGAACCATGAATTCACAATTCAAACATTAGGTACAAAAATTTTGATGCATAATTGAACAAACTCCACTTCAAAATCTAAGATAAATTATAATCCCTACAATTTCATTTGAAAAGTTAAAAAATTAAACCAAATTTCAACATTAATAGAGGGTCAAAATCAATTAAAGCAAACCATAGGAGACACGTACCATGGTACTGGCATTTTCTAAGCAGAGTCTCCAATAACTTCAAACAAATTGGGTCATCATCAACCGCAAGAACACGAAGACCTACTGGAAATTTGTCATAATTTCCAGCTTCAGCCCTAATTTCCTCGGCAGTCATCTTTAGAACCCACAAATCAAACACCCCAAAACAGGGATCAGAGTGTCAAAAGTTTGAGTCTTTCACTCTACAAGTCACTTTCTTGAAATCTTGGCAAAACCAGCTGGCAAAACGTGTTTTTTTGATACACCGAATCAAGGATTGATACAGATAGAGCAGATCAAAGACGGAAACAAAGGACAAAGTGTATGTAGAGAGAGAGACAGAACAAAAAAAAAAACAGAAACAAAAACAAAAAAGACTTTGTTCAATTTAAAGCTGGGCAATGATGGCGATGGCCAGAACAGAGTGAATGGCTTCAACTCAACAATAACACCACATCGAATCAGTTCTTCTTTATTAATTCTACTCTCTGTCGTTTGCTCTTATGAACCACTGTCTGGCATATAAAATATTAACAAATTGTTTCTATATTGGAAAAGTGGATGTGAATAATGGAACTTTTTGTGGTCAAATAATTGAGTTTTGTTTATAGTCTGCTTCCAGCAACTTTTTCCTCTCTCCATCTCTCACTCTCTCTCTCAACTCATGTGAACCAAAAGCAAGCAATTTTGGGAGTGGAAGACTT